AACAGATTGTTGTTGTGAAATCCCAAGTTTCGCATGTTTGGTATTTTTGCCTTACAGACACATAAGAATGAGAGTGTTGCGCTAGCGACACCACAATGAAAAAATATCGAGTTCTCATAATAATTTATTGTTTATATATAATCACTTTTAAGTAAAATTGTTCACCTTCTCGGTCAAAATATTAGAGTACTGAAAACCTTTGCCATTAATACCCTAGTACGTATTATTTGCATGATAGAAATATACGTTATCCAGATATCGGATGTCATGAACTTCAAATCAGCTTGCACAAGCGGTATTCCTAAGCCTACATGTTTATTACTTTACAGCTTCATTATTTACATCAAGTGGAGGTATTCATTTCAAAAATACTTTGAATCCAAATCAAATTAAATAAGAACGTGAAAAACGTCATTGGCCTAACCAACACTGTTTTCACATTATCTTGACTGCATAACAGATTGTTCCTATGATGTGCACCATATCGTTGAAAATTTATTGAGCCACATATCTCTTATCAATAAAGTAAATTTCTAAAAAGAGTTCTAATAACCGAATTTTTCATTCCAAATTTTTTATTCACTCCGCACAATTTTTAGACTTTGGAGGGTCATAAGTCATTGGCTGTTTGTAGGAGCTGTTTATTTGCTTTAATTGAGCATGCATTACAGAACGTAACCACGATGGTTTTGTGTTATTATCTCGATGAATAAAAAAGTTAAAACATTATCTCAGTAATAATAGCACATAAGGCATTGCGCTTTTTAATATGATCATCAAACAACTTCCCCAATTACCCAAAAATAGGTATCCAAAAATGTGCCATTTCAGTATAATAGTGAGAAATAAAAATCTCACAGTCCAAAACACATATGTTTCTGATTATTTAAATGCAAAAATTCAATGGATGCGATCAACTGAAAATCTGAGTTACGTACTAGTGCCGAGAAACTTTCTTGTGGACCCTGACCATTTGATATCAAATGACGTTAAATTAAAAATATCCTTTAATGAAATCGCTCAGAAAACAGTCTCAGTCATATATGTTTAAATTATAGAGAACAACAGCATTCATTGTAACAATTAACACATTGGCAAGTAATGTTTTAAGAGTCATAATCATAGCCAACGTATTTCTTATAAATACGCTTATACGCATGTGATTTGACTTTCATGATTATGCTTGTGTAATTGTTATTTAAGCAAACCTTAACAATCAGTTTGAGAACACAACAAAGAGATAGATTCTAAAACTTACAAACGCATCTCTGGACCTTGGACACCTTCGGCATTCTGTGTCACCTTAAAAATGTAGGTACCACAGGTAGATTCTATTGGGTCCAGTTTTTGGGACCTTCAAAACATTACGTGGGCGGGAACAAAAGATCATGCTTAACTAGTACGTGTTATGGTGCCCAACATATATCTGTAAAGGCGCAATTGTACAAGACTTGCGTACTATCGATATTGTCCACTATGTCGCGTGAGAAGTACTACAGGTTCCCTGAACTTTAGTGCCATTGAGAACATTGTTCTGTACGTGGTAGAGGGTTTTCCATCGGGAGTGTTGTAAACCTTAATACAGTCCACGAGCCGTGCTTTCCTTCATATAGCCATCGTGGTGGCTTGAGTACAAAAAAGTATCTTCTATAATCCTGAAAATACCTCTAGACTTATACGTTAAAAGCCAGTAGCAATTATCTGAAGTCCATCATTTTCCAGTACTCACGTCGCATCGCATCGTTCAAATCTGCCCTGAGGCAGCATCAGATTCGCTCTGCCCATCTTTCTCTCCCTCTTTCTCTCTCTCTCTCTTGCTTTCGCAGTTATCTGGTCGCGCAGACATTCCGATCTGATCAGATTTTAAGCACCACCAACATCGTCAGAAGACCGAAAATAAAAAAGGGAATAGTAAAACATTTATACTAAACCGACAGTAAGCAAGAACAATTGTTCTCGAGATGCTACCGTTCGCTCTCTGGATTTATGTTATACTATCTGGTGACGATGCAGCCCTTCCAAACAATCGACAATCGCTCGATTGTTCCTTGGTCTCGGTTGGCCATGGTCGATTGGAATCGTTTCCACGGCCCACTAAATCTCGAGACGGGACCGCGCACTTGGCATTGTTATTTCTTCTTGTTGATGACCAATCGCTACCGAGCTTCGTGTACACGCTTCCAGCCGATATGTAGACGTCTTTAAGTTATACACTGGTTTTTCAACCCGTGATTTACTCTTTCAGCAACTCTTCCGGTTATGCTTACAGGAGTATCAGAGAATTTATGAAGGAGGAAAATATCTAACGTCAAGGAATACCCACGCATAGCAGACCATTTAACGACTCTACTACTTGATTGTAGATCACGGGTACGTGGAAGGTGCGCTTAAAATGGAGAAATTACTTCTTCTAACAGAATATGGATACCTGCACCAAGTTTTACCATCTAAAAAATGATTTCTCTAAATTAATGTATCGGTTATTTGACATGAGGGTTACAGGTTCTTGTGTTGAATCCCTCTGTGACTTCTTTGTTTGAATAAAAATTGTTGAATCACTTAATCTCTAGATTGTTGTTGTTATTTTTTCTTGTCGATGATCAATCGTTACCGAGTTTGGTGTACACGGTTCCAACAGATAGATAGACATTTTTCAATTATACGTAGGTTTTGCAGCCTGAGAATTACTCTTTCATCGACTATACCTAATCAGAGTTCGAGTCAATGAAGCAGTTGTTCAAGAAAACCATCGGATAGAAAACTACTAATCAAAAGGATCGCTTTCTTGGAGACCATAGATACTTGGATAGAACACCATTGGATAGAACACTTCAAACCACTACTTCGATAGAAGTTATTTATCTGACACATACATTCAAAATACAGAAAGCCCTCAAATTTCTATCTTGTGCCCCTATTCTTGACTTTAATAGAAAATCTCACTCCCCCTCTTTTTCTACTCCCCTGGTTTTCTATCGATTTGAAAATACTGTATTCTTGAAAAGACTCGATAGAAAGGAAATCAAGACACAGGGATGCCAGGTTTCGGTAAACGTGTTAAACCAATCAAAATAGAGATAATTTTGACAGTCAAAAAGTAACCAAATATTTTGGTCAAGATTTCCTCCTTATAATTTTATCTATGGACACAGATTATACAGATGCGACACCTGCTATCGGTCCCTTCAATCTTCGTGTTTCCAACTGCTTACCACATTTTCCGCTTATGTTCAATAGCGCCCGGAGGATTTTTTCCTCGAGGGTTGATACGCGTTATTAGCACGAATGTCATATGTCAAATAACATAATCAAGAAATTTATTTGCGTTCATATTTGCCCACATCAATTTTGACGAACTTATAACTATTATTTCTTAAAAATCTGTTTATATATTTATATATAGTATTGATAAAATTCAATGTTTTTCATAGTCCCTAAATCCTAAATGTCATATCAACACGAATCCCACCAAACGCATAGGATTCAAGTTGGCGTTGATAGAAACTCATTTTTGACAGAGTGTGTGGTATGGAGCCGAAAACACATTACAAATGAACAAAAGGACAAAATGATTGAATTTTTCCGAGAGCACCCCCGAATGCTCCAGGGAAAATTGAATCATAGATTAAATAATAAAGTTTTAGAATGACTAAAACTTAATGTCTAACCTTGTCTTTGTTGAGATCGAAAGTGCAGAAGCTCGTCGGGGTGGTTGCATGAATGGAGTCAATATCTCCAGCAATTCGTACACCAAATCCTTGGTCAACCTAAAAATCTGTACAAATTTTCGATCCGAAATTATGAAATGATCTCGGTGCCCAAGAATGTTTCTCCCAATTTCCCATTCCTCAACTGCCTCCTCTACACCCTCGTTAATAATATCGTTCCGATACATCAGTTGATTGAAGTTATCCATTTTTTGCAATATGTCTAGCAGGTACGATAATAACAATGCCAAACACGCAATTTTTAGGTTATATAGCGCTATTTCCTACTAATTTTTCCAGTTTCTGTTGGTTGGTACCAAGAGAAATCGCGACTCCCTAAAGTGAACTCATTTCTATCACTTTTCGGTAGACTTGGTTTCAAGAATACTACATTTCTTGGCCACATTCACTTTTTGATACGTTCTCTCACAATTTCTACTCCCCCAATTTCAAGAATAGAGGTCCTGAAAGGTATTCCGCTCGAATAATGAAAAATGTCAATCATCATAATCTCCCGGCAATCACTTAGTGTCCACCGAATTCTCACCAGTGGTGTACTATGCAAAGAATGCATAAACAAAGCCTGAAGTGAAATGGCTTATATTCTTTCATATATATAGAGTCGACACTTCTTTCAATTCATTGATTACACTGATACATGATATGATGGTTGTAATTAATTATATAATTATTTTTGGTGTCATATGCAAACTATTACGATCTTATACTTTGTTAAAGGGTATCCTATGAATGAGACTATAAAACTTAAAAAGAAGTTAAGTCTGACCGCAAGTCAGATAATTTGCACTACCCAAATGAACATATTTGGCTAATCTAGAAACAAATGTAAAACTACATCATCATTGCTGCGCCACTTGATAGGGTTGCGCTGCAAAATCAGGAGGTTACTCAACTGAATAGAGCGATTAGCTTGTGTTAGCTAAAATAACTGCAACCGACTGTAAATAGGCAATTGGGCCTATGTGGATTCGGGCAAACAGCGCACTGCAATCTTTGACAGGCTGTACAGGAAGGTGTTTATCCTTGAAAGAAATGAGAACTCCTAGATATCGTTTAACCGCAGACCTAGTGTGACGGGAACTGGTACCCAGAACGAACGATTCCTTGAAGAAGGTGGAGAAGCCTGGTACCCAAATAAGCACAGAGTGAAACGGGCTCTGTTCTGGTATTGTTGCCCTCTAGCTAGGTATAACACAGTATTCCTTATGAAAATATCTGTGATTATTACATTAGCTACGAATGTCTGAAAATTATCTTGGCATCCTGTTTCAGTGAAGCAAAGTATCTGGTCTCACATACTCGACCACTGTTGGATATGAGAGGAGCCATTGTGGTAATGCTACAAAGACAAAAGGTTGGTGATTTTTCAAGAAACACTGGTTGGTATAAGGCAGTCAGGTAGTCAGATCCATCTAGAGCTAGAGTAGAAGAAGAATCTTCAGTACTTATTCCTTGTCCGTACAGATGGCACTTTAGAGTATCCCAAAATAGGACTTCTGACTGGGGTCAAATATTTTCTGTCCGTGCTTTACTTTGCCAGACGGTATTGTGGTCTGGCATGGATAGACGTTTATCTTATTCTTATATGCCAGAACATCTTTTCACTTGTCCTCTGGTAATCTACTAGCATTTTGAGGGCTTCGTGGTTTGAAGAGTCCTTGATACTTTCTCAAAGTATCCAACGGAAAAGAGATCCCTACAGGTCTTGTGAAACAACAAATCATAAATGTCCATGATATAAATGTGCGTCTCCTTACCTCTTTGCGTCTTGATTCTTGATCCGCAATTAGGCGTTTTCTTTTTCTTTATAAACAACACATTTAAGGTGACATTTCCATGTAAAGGAGAACAGAAGGTTTCAACAGCAGAGGAGTGCACTGATGTACAATTTACGTCGCTACGAAATAATGCTGGAAAAAAGCCACACCAGACTTTGCGAAGAGGACTGGTATGTATAAATGAGTCAAGTCAGTTCAAAAACCTCGTAAGTCCTATAATTTGAATGTTTCAGAATAAAATAAAAATTGTGTCACTGATAAATAAATCAGTTTAAAATTATTTTTTGGGCTTTATGTAATATTTAAATTCAAAGATACAGACATTTAGGTAAAGTCCGAAAACGTGTTGGACTTAGTTTGGCAGGAAATAGTGTTAGTTAGTTAGTTAGTTAGGTTGGTTAGGTTGGTCTACATATAAGCAAAATAATTATATCAATCATATACATATTTCGCTGCTTATTATTCAAAATTACATATAAATATTGACTTACAGATATGCCAGATGTCTTAATTTTGCATGTTTCGACATTTTAAGGTACATATGAAAGACCCGGGCAAAACGAACCAACTAGCAAAGTAGTGCTATAAGCTTTTGGTAAAAGAACCGTTCAGCCATAAAAGCTCTCTATTGTTGTTGCCTGAACACCAAAATTCTGGCTTAATGTTGTGTGGAATGCAAATTTGCTTTCTGCAACATATTTGCTCTAAAATGAGGTGTTTAAAATATTCTTTAGCATAGTTATACAACACCTAATAGGACAAATTTTTAACTGTTGCATAAACATTTATACAACTATGTTATACGGCATACTTGCAGTTAGTCAAAATGGTTGTGTTGTGGCATCCATGGTAACGTCTATAAAACAAACCCGAGCCTTGTTGTTTTGCTGTGAATATTACTACTTTAGCCAACAAGTTGCTCCCTACGGAAGCACTTATACAACTGTTGATTAGTAACTGTTAAAGGCTGTACACATGCTAAATATGTTGGTTGTACACCATAACCTAACTTTCTGCTGTCATATTTTTGTTAAAATGCCATAACCAATGATTTAAGACAAACAACGCATGCATATTGGTTCAACTGTTCAATCACAATATATAGATCTGGTACAAATTCTGTGTAAATCATTCGACTCTGTCGGCATTTCATTTCAGACATTTGTCAAATTGTTGTATAACACCTGCAGGCAACACCAAAATCTTCTATTAAACTGAAGACAACATGGACGATGCCATGATTTTTTTTTTTTTATACTCCAACTACCACGAAGGCCTAAGGCCTAAGCACCCATTGGGTACCGTGGGGCTATGGGGGATACATGGGAAAGGGGGGACGCCACACGGACTCTGGCGAGGGAACACGTGTGCATGCAACATGCACACATTCTGGCTCCGCCTACGAGAACCGCCGGGTGGTACCTCCGCGTTCGACAATCACAACATCCATGGCCAAGAGAAACATTTCTCCTGGGACGGGACTCGAACCCGCACAGCGCACGGCGGCTGATCAGGAGAGCGGAGAGTCTACTACTGCGGCCACCGCTGCTGCCTGAAACAAACACACAACATCCATGGCGAAGGCGAGATTCGAACTCGCGGCCCGGCCGGCCGGCTGATCAGTAGCACGACACTCTGACCCACGCGGCCAACCGAGGTCCCGTATACACAACCATCAGCCATATCGGGCAACCATTTATTCCTCTATTTAATATTAAATAATTATGTTTCAGTTTGAAATTACAGATATAGATATAGATAAGTGATACACATTAGTGTAATTGTGTCTAAATATAGGATTTGTGGAAGATTTGACGCAGCTAAGTTCACTTTTCCATCTTAAAGATCTAGACATACTTTTGATCATTATCAACATATGCATCAAATAAGAAGCCCGTAGAAATTGCGTAAGTACTTTGCACGATAATCACAATAAAATTTGCTGCGCAAGTAAGGCAATAGCCCTATATCACAGTGTAGAAGTTTATCATATACCTGTGTATGAAATTCACAATGGCCGATATGTAAGTAAACAAGATGACTGTAACGTGTTAGTTATATATTCTTCACTTCGTCTATGCAATACATAAGAAATAGTTTGGTTGCAATAAAGTAGAATCACGTAACAGAATAGTTGTATAGTTGACAAAAACTGAATCTTGCACTGACGCACATGTCCTAAAGCGGTTGCAAGGGGCTTACGCTTTTGTTGTATAACTGTTACCTGCAGCCCTTATATAACCTCTTAAATGACTGAAGTGTCCTATTAGGTGTGCCCATTCCGCTTGCATAGCTGTTCTAAGAGGGTATTGTCAATGTTCTTACAGTATACAATGCTGTGTATGGAATACTGTATAATCATTCTTGCAACTCTAATAGGAGTGATAATTGTTAGTTGGGGAGCACCTGGGAAAATCAAATTTTCCGTTTTACATCCAGACCATGAATCAAACGTATTGAAAAAATACATAGATTTATTCGTTCCACTTTCTTCAATAATCGGGGATTGCTTGTAGGAGAACAAACGTGCCTATTTAACTAACAGGCATCAAAATGTATTTTTTCAGCAAAAAATGACATGGCAAGATAGGTGTTGCGCCACATTTGTAATATCGACACAAACAGCTACTTAAAATATTTAGCGTATATCCAAAGGATCTTCTCAGTCACACAAATGTGAAGGATAGAGTCAGCCTTATAATCTTATTTTTATAGTTAGTGAATTTGAATTTGAAGTTTTGGCGAATATAACATATTAATATGAAGATAAAATAATAAAGGGAAACCAGGAGGGAAAGGAATGTAGTGACATAAGATGTGTATACCCCAAAATAGGCATCTATGTTGGTAAAAAACGAATTAAGTGGCTTTTGCAATGACCTACACAAATATAAGGGAAATGCCTGACGGATGACCTCCACAGCTTCGCTGTTTATTTAATAAAAATATTTCGAGAGTCCCTAGATACTTGAACGCATAGTGCCGAATGGAAGAGAGTCGTAAATATGCATGTTGTGTTTCTACAATATCCATCTCTTATCTGTCTATGTGCTGTTTCCCATGAAGCTTGAAGCCGCATTGGGTGATCTCCGTCGAGGACAAATCAGACCCTCTGATGCGGCCGCGCGTCACCGACGAGCCGATACTTTATCCTGCAAATTCGTATAAGGCAAGCCGCTGCTACTGGTCGCCGCCTCGATTTTTCAGTTTCTATTCCTCCATGCGATTAAACTATAAATAACAATCCTGTTATAGGGATTTTTGCGACTGTTATTCCAGCCTCCCTGTCCACCGGTGACATGACAGCTAGTTATAAACACAAAAACTGGAAAATCAAGAAACGGCTCAGTGCGGCGCCACTCGTTACTGTCATACCGAAGACATTGGAGGTTGAAACTAGAGCTAGACCTCGATATGTAAATGAGAAAATAACGCAATAAAATCATCAGCATGACTAAATAACGAACCACCTATTGAGAATCAGGATTCATGGGTCCAAAATTCGTTTTAGTGACAAACATGTTCTACAGGGTGTAGCAAAAGTACCGGAACGGCTCTTTCGTAATACATTTTTGTGGGAAATGCTTTGAATAAGAGTTGTAGGATTGTCACTCAGCTATCTAACTAGTTTAGGTCAAGGTCATACTACCACTACCATTAACCTTGCCTAAGTTGGCCGGGACTATCATCCTTGCCTAAGATGGCCAGGGGGTTATTAAAGGTCAAATATGAGGGACATTCAAGGTCATAGCTAGACGTAAAAATTTTTTGCCCGTTTCATTGCAGGGGCCTAAAGTAGGGGTTTATATTTACAATGTAGAAGATGACCTTCAAATGATCTCCAAGGTCAAGGTCAAGATTCAATCTAAGGCCCGTATCGTCAGTCGTCCTTACAATTGTAGTGCGCGTTTATGGCCTCCTTGATTGTCATACTCCTTTCTCTCCTTCAAAAATTTCTAGATTACACTTGTCCCGTGTCAGCGTCAGCGCTATCCTATTCTGAAGATACGTTTTCTTTTTAAATTGTAGGAAATTTCAGGCTGATAAAATATGATATAACTCAAAAGCAAGCACAATTTGATGCAAATAGATGTTTGTGACATAACCTCAAAATAGAGTTCTGATACGAAGAAGTAGAAAACTATGACAATCAAGGAGGCAATTTTTTAGATGACCTTCAAATAACCTCCAAGGTCAAAATCAAGCTCGAATCAAAGGTCACCGACAAATACTTGAGGAACAATCCTACAACTATTATTTAAAGCATTTCCTCCTTTGACGTGTTCCAAAAGAGTTATCCAGCCGTTCCGGTACTTTTGCCACACCCTATATAATAACTTCATGCGTCGCGCTCATAGCAAATAGAGCGATGCAGCCGATTTTGAATATTATGTGTCATTCACTCCATATTATTGAGGGGGAGCATATGCTTCCCTTAGCTCACACTTGACAAGTAAAAGTTCTTGATACGGTAACCGTTGTTTGGGTAAGGAGAGCTTGTATGGTTTTTACTCCGCGAAGCATCCCTGCATAGAAATATACTGAGTGACAAGAAAAAAGATAAGCACTTACGTATGTTTGTTAGATTTCAAGAATTTCTTATATACCGATTTATCTTGCCATGAACAACAAGTGATAAAATGGTCAGGTTTTTCTGTTAAGTTTTTGTGGTGGCTTCGTGTATTGTTTGGTGATAAAGAAGCATTCAGTTTTTGTACATTTACGGGATTTACGGGATGCACGATCGTCGGGCAGGACTGAAAAGGCGACGTGGTAAAAGACGTAGCCCACAATTTGACAAAGAGCGTCTCGTTCACCACACCGTGAGAGTTATGGTATGGGGTGCTATTGCTTATGGCAGTAGATCACCACTAATTTTCATCATAGGCAATATGACAGCCCGATGCTATATTCAGGAAGTAGTGGACCCTTACCTTGTTCCATACCTAAACACAATCCAAAACCCAGCAAGACAATGCCAGACCGCATGTTGCTAGAGCATCGTTAGCCTTCATGGATCAACATCGCATCAACCGTTTACCTTGGCCACCACGATCGCTGACCTATCTCCAATTGAACATATCTCTGACACGATAGGTCACAGGCTCTTGAATTTCCAACACCCTCCACAGACTTTAGCAGCTCTCACTCACGAAGTTGCAGTAGCCTGGAATGAGATACCTCCTAATCAGCACGATACCCAGACGTGTCAAGGCGTGAATAAGGAATCGTGGATCCTCAACACATTATTGAACCAGCTTCAGCAGTCAGTTGACGAATCAAGCTGAAACTTTAATCATTGTACTAGTAAGGGACACTGAACATACACGCCAAAAATTATTCAAATGGGATGAACATACGTAGGGTGACTTTGAAGTTGAGTCATTAATTTTCAGATAATAATTGTAGAAGGAAGATAAACCAAAATATGTGTCTAAAAATAAAAAAAAATAAAAAAATGTTACCTTGTTTTATAAAGAATCCTCCCGAAAAGTATTTCAGTGTGGACCTGTGCGCCCAAAAGCATGTTACAAAAACTGTTCGAAATGATTTCCGTTTTGCTCGACGCAGAGCTGGGCGCGTCTTAGCCATTTTGATTTCTGATTACTGTACTCATTTCCTCAATTCGAGCACGTAATTCTTCGCGGGTATTAACCGGTGTTTTATACACTTGATATTTTAGCCAACCCCGCAAACAAAAGTCTACAGGATCCAACGATTACTAAATTGTCTATTTAAAAATTCACGCACATTTCTTGCATAATGGAGGGGTGCCCCATCTTGTAAAAACCACATGTTTTGTCTAATATTTAAAGGCACATCTTCCAGTAAACCAGGCAAATTGTGTTTCAAGAAATCAAGATAATTTTCACCAGTTAAGCGATTTGGTAATTCAAAAGGCCCCACTAAAATTCCATTAACAATTCCAGCCCACAGGTTGATTGGTTCAAATCGCTGTTGAAAATTAGTTTCCCTTATTTCCTGGGGATTTTCAATAGCCCAAACGTGAGAATTACGTGAATAATAATAAATCATTTACTAATTCTAAAATTTGTTCCTCTAGTTCTATTTGATCGTGCGGTCTTGGAGCACCGGCATACTCTCCCCTGTGAGGTCTTAAGTCACCTGATTCACGAACCCTTTGTACTACATTAACAAAAGCACGAGGGGTTGGTTGCACTCGATTGGGAAACCGATCCACATAAATGCCGCGGCAGCATTTTGTAAAGACCCCCCCCCCCGTAAATAAGAATCATGTCCACAAGTACAGCATTTTCGTAAACATGTGCCATTTCTTATCTCGTTTGAGCCACGCAACAAACACCACTATTCACTCACGCGTTACCGACTGACACATTGACTGAATACAACTGAATAAAATTGTAGTAAAAACATCGTGATAAGCGTTTCAAATTCTATCGCTTTTTTGTTTCCGATGCGATGAACCGATAAGGCGGATTATATCCGTTGTTGCCAAACACGAGCACATAATATTATTATTGAGACAGGGCAGTACTCAAACCTCTAAAGGGCTATAACTTTGTTACTTTAATTTTACCTGAAAAATGTTATAGGAAAAAAACATTTCTTTTGATCAGATCTACTCACTGCCAAAATAAATGACTCAACTTCGAAGTCACCCTGTATAAATTGTGTTTATCCCATCGCTTTGAGCAACTAGCAACTCTGCTTTAATATGATTGACTGGGCCTGCAAGACGCACCTGCCTCTCTCTGAATTCTGATATATGGGCGCCTATGTCCGGGTCTATCGTTCATGTAATCATTATCTGGTTGCGTCTTTGGCATGACGGAGGCATATTCGAGGGAAAACTTAAAACTGCAGTCATGACATCGAGCCATAATAACCGTTCAAGCAGTACATGTCACGCATTTTTGACTTTGGAGTAACATCAAAAATGAGCCCTGTTCTCTACGTACAAAGCGTGATCGTTTCACCTGGCAACCTCAAAAAATGTGATGCTTGTGAGCTGTTAAAAATAGTTTTCAGCAGCCATATTTTAGACTTTTCCAATAAGAGAGAATGAGGGTGGTCCAACAGTATAGCGCTTTTACGCTGTATAGCAATAGCTATACCATTAGTTTTGTCAGTATGACCGTAGTTTTCACTTAACTGTCAGCTTTGATAGTTAATTGAATGCTGTGAAGTGTCAAAGCTGTTCTACAGCTAGACCGCTTTGCATTGTATCAACGCGCTCAGTCGTTGGCAAGGCCTACAATATGGCTGTTGTTGGGTATTTATAACAGCTCACATATCGCACTGGTAAGCCCTATAGGATTTTTCAACATTGACAATAAGGAGAAGAGACTCAGGTACCTCATTCTAGCATTTCTGATTGAAACTCTTTTGGACATATTATATCTCGTGAATCTAACATGCTTTCCCCCATTTTCTTATATTCTTTCAATAACGACTGCGTAGGTAGGATGTCTTTACCCAATAAATTATATTCAACCAATTACCCATCACTTAGCCATGCAGATTAGTTAGTCTATTAAGGGTGGTGATGGTCAATTAAGTCCATAGATTGCTTCATTTTGTTGTTATTTGAAAACTAGAGAATCGCGAATAAACAACTCGACATATACAATGACTTTATCATAAAGCAGATTACCTAACATGTAACACCAATTTGTTGCATTTTGCAATGTGGGTTTTTTCAGGCATTCGAACAAAAGTAGCTGACATGATTATTAGCATCTTAGATTCCAATATCAAATATTTGCTATTTTCCTTGAAATGCGGTATTTTCCGATTTTATTAAATGAACAAGGTTTTCCCTAATATAACTCTTCCTATGCATGATTATCGAGACTATTTTTGCAGCAAGACTAACAACATTATTCAATTTGTTTACTCATATTTCCTGAAAGCTCCAATGATACCTAATTAAGATTTCCGATAATTACCTTGTTTCAAATATACAGATTAATAAGCATTCACATTCTACAACCACTTTTTAATCTGATACATGAACTGTGCGTTAAAGTTTCCTCAGCAGCATGCAAGCTTCAGATATCAAGGTCGTTCTTTTTGGTTACACCTATCCGATTTCTCAAATATCTTATAGGAGTCCCACCTTAGAATGTGTTCGAAGGAATAACCAATGATCAAGAACCATCTGTATAAATGGTACATCAGAAGCTTAGACAGTTGCTACTAAGAGCGTTACACACAGAACATAAAAAGCAACCGATAGCTCCTTTTCGTGTTGTTACTATGTGTTTAACTTTTTGTGGCAGGTGTAGTAGTCTTTAATATGACAAAACAAAGGAATGTATTGATCGGTAGCCTTCTACCGCTTATTCCCGTCTAAAGGTACCAATCACTAAAGAATGCTAAACCTTTACCGAGAGGGAATTTCACGTAACTATTACTTTTCCTATCAATAAAC